ACTGTAGACATTGACTAACTAAACATTTAAGCTGTAGACATAGACTCACTAACATTTAATCTGTAGACATAGATCCACAAAACATAGTCTATTATAGGAGCATAGCGGTGAAATCAGGCGCTCGTCAAAATAATCAAATCAAGAGACTGGCATTTTTGGGGCTGGTGGGTACATTTTCGCTAATTTTCTTTTCTTTTTTTTGGGGGGGGGGGGCTAACACTTTTTAAGTCCACGAGGAATCAGGGAGACAGCAGAATATCACGCATTCATCAGGATGCGAGAAATGGGGATAGAGAAAATGGCGACAGAGAGGGGAGAGGAAAGTAAGGAACAATTATCTGGAAAGGAAAGATGTCGCCATAATCAAAAAGCCACTAGAACAATTAGTATGGATACCTTACTGGCTTTAGTGCTGAGGAAAGCTGAGCACTTATGGGCCTGTGCAAAGACGTTTTTGCCCAGGACAAATAAAATGTCCCGTTAAAAACACTTTTTTGTGTGGATTTTACTGAAAAACATTGATTAAAGGCACACAAAAAAGAGTAAATTTTCAGCTTCCAAGGACATATGCTTACTAAACATTTAATCTATAGACATTAACGCACTAAACACAGGTGCTAGGACTTACATGAACCGCCACGAGGAAGAGCGAACAGCCCAGCAAGGATATCTGGGAAATAAGAAATCCTCTTTATGTACAAATAGATTGTTCCAGGTTCTCGGCATAAAAAAGAAATAAATGAATACGCTTGGAGGACGAACGTTGCTGTTTACCAAAAAGTGGTGGCTTTGTTAGACATTGTTTAAAATAGTGTATCTTTCATCCAGGAAAAGTCAGACATGTTCGCACAGTAGGGAGGTAATTCAATGCAAGACCCTTGGATCCCAAGCCAACAATGTAAGGAATTATTCCACTTAAGGTTGAATATAAACTCAGTTGAAAATTGTGACTCTATTTCTATCGTTGATGTCCTCCATTATATTCAGGTGGTCTGGAAATCTGACACGTATGGCACCTCACCAGCCTGCCAGAAAGCGTACTCATAATCATCATCAAGTGCCAGATCTGCGACAGACATCAGCGATCAGGTTTTTCCATTCAGTCCTTTGCTCGGATGCTCTCTAAAAAGCTACGTTTCCCTGATCTTTCCCTGTTACCCATTTGTTTAGGTTCCCTAAGTAGCCTACCCCTGCCTCGCTTGCCCTCAGTTTTGCCAATGAGATCGAGAAGTTCAAGACCCTTATGTCTATTCAGGTGTCCCAAAAATTGCATTTTTCGTTTCCTGATTGTTTTTAACATTGAGCGTCCCACGTGGGCTTCATCAAGCACTACCTCATTTGATTTCTTTCCCTTCCACGATACTCTTAGCAGTCTCCTAAGAAACCACATTTCTGTTGCTTCTATTTTATTCTCACTATCTTTAATGATTGTCCAGCATTCACAGCCATATACAAGGGTTGACCAAACATGGCATTTCAGGACTTTCATTTTGGTGTTCATTGAGAGGTTTCTATTTTTCAGGATTGGGCTCATTTTTTATTGAAACTAGCCTTAGCCATTGTAGTTCTCCTTTTTATTTCTGTGGAATATTGGGCATCAGATGTCATCATATATACTAGATATTTAAACTGTTGGACTTGTTTGATCTTTTCACCTTTGCTAATGAGATTACAACTAGGATTTGCTGCTTTTTTGGATATTACCATGCATTCTGTTTTCTTTACATTCAACAATAATCCTTTACGTTCACTTTCTGTTACAACAGTACCTAGAAGCAATTGAAGGTCCTTTTCGGAGCCTGCTATTAAAACTGTGTCATCTGTATACCTGGTGTTATTAATATTTTCTCCATTTACTTTGAAGCCTGGACAGCCTTCTATGCTTCTAAGGATTGCTTTACTGTACATGTTAAAAAGGTCTGGTGATCTGGTGACATAACACATCCTTGCCTCACTCCTCGCCTAATCTGCTTATATTCTCTGTATTCTCCATTAATTCGTACGGCAGCGTTTTGGTCCCAGTACAAATTACTGATAATTCTTAGATCTTTTCCATCTATATCTAGCTTTTCCAGTATTTTAAATAGCTCGTCATGTCTAACTTTATCGAACACCTTTGAATAATCTATTTTCTGTGTTTCAATGCCGTAAAGTTACCTGGCGGTCAGATGAGTCGGATCTGTCACGGGGGCCCCCGTCCAAGATAAGTGTTGCCTCGTCGTGGTCCTGAGTCCGACTGAATATCTCAGTGAGTCTCTCAGACGATCTCCGCCTATTTCCCGCGGACTCTTGACGTCATCCAAGGGCATGCCACCCTCTTACATATCTTGTCCCCACAGTAAAGATAAGAGTCATGTCCCTTGACATCAAACAATACATCTTTACATTAACATTTTTAAGGTGAATATAGCATTTCTGGTGCCCTTGTCAGGAACAAAGCCGAATTGCGCTTTAGATATCTCTGGTCTTACACTTTTTCTCAATCTTCCCATTATTACTA